TCATCTGCTGACCCGTCGCTATTTCTACGCATCGACACTACCCTGCCGCCGTTCTACGTTCTAGTGTACGTCGACGACTTGGTTTTTGCTACTGCTGACACTGAGGCGCTGGCCCTAGTGAAGGCGGAGCTGCAGGAGAGACACACCTGCACTGACCTGGGTGAGCTGCGTAGCTATCTTGGCTTGCAGATCACCCGGGACAGAGTGCGGCGCACCATCACCCTGACTCAGTCACACATGGTGCACCAGGTCCGTCGGTGCTTCGGCTTCCAGTTCTCCTCGCCACAGCCCACTCCTCCGTCTACCGGCCACTCGCTCTCAGCTCCACCTTCGGATGAGTCCGTAGAGCCGAGTGGTCCGTACCCAGAGCTTGTGGGTTGCCTCATGTACCTGATGACGTGCACACGACCTGACCTCGCGTACCCTCTTAGCCTCCTGGCTCGCTACGTGGCTCCCGGTAGACACCGAAAGGTGCACTTGGATGCTGCGAAGCGGGTACTGCGTTACTTGTGCAGTACATCGGGCATGGGGCTAGTGCTTGGAGGACAGGGTTCAGTGGTACTCACAGGACACTCCGACGCTTCTTGGGCCGACGACCAGGCGACTCAGCGTTCGTCACAGGGTTACACCTTCAGTCTTGGCTCTGGTTCTGTCTCGTGGAGGTCCACTCGTTCTTCTTCTATGCTTAGTTCCAGATGTGAGGCCAAGATCTACGCAGGGGCCATGGCTGCACAGGAGCTACGCTGGCTGACCTACCTGCTGACCGACTTGGGGGAGCGGCCTCGTTCTCCTCCAGTTCTGTACGTCGACAACAAGGCAGTGCTTGCCTTGTGTCATGAGCAGAGACTGGAGCACAGAACAAAGCACATTGCTCTTCGCTACTTCCTTGCGCGTGAGCTGTAGCAGCATCGTCAGCTCCGCCTTTCGTACGTGGCCTCGCCGGCCAACACTGCTGATGTGTTCACCAAGGCCCTTGGGTGTGGTGATCATCAGCGTTTCTGCACTGCTCTTGGGCTTATGCCCTCTCTGCCTCACTTGCTGGTTGCTTGACTTGCTCTTGTTGTACACTGATATATATCTTTATACCTGCTTGTTTACTCTTGCTAGGTTGTGATCAGTGTACTGCCTTGCTATTATAACTCTGCATGTGAACTGGCCTTGTGTCCGTTTGTTTGTGCTCAGATTGTGTGGTGTCCTTGAGATCCACCCTGAGCTTTGCTTTGCTTTGTTCTCTTGCTTGGCTGGTCTTGTGACCGTCTGTTGTGTTTGCTATCTCCCACTTAGCCTACGGGGGTGTGTCAAACTATATATTTGTGTTCTCTCTAGGCTATAATGGGTTAGCCTACAAGGGGTACATCACTTCTAGGGTTAGTACTTGTACCTAACACATTCATAGTTCATTCATTCCTGCACAGTGATTCTGACAGCGGTTAGCAACCCCATTCTGCCACGGTCAGACAGGGAGTGTAAAGGACTGGGTGATGCCCTACACGCTACATTATTGGGCAAGTCAGCCGGATCAGAACTCTAAACCCGAAACCCTAGCAACATCACATCCGCCACACTGTCCGGTTGTTCCACTGCTCGCATCTCAGCGCGAGTCTCCATCGCCTTGTCTAAGTCTTCTCTCCTTCATACGGTCCTATTTTGAGGCAGAGCAGGAAAAAGGGGGAAAGAGGATTGAGCTTCCATCCTACCAGAAAAACAAATCTTTTCAGTCCTCTTACCAGATGTCGAGCTGGGTATAAAAGAGGCACCAAGGTGCTCGCATGTGGGAGCTACCTGTAGTTAAGCAAATAATATTTTATATTATTGTTTCCCAGTCTGTGTCCAGAGTTCTATATCTGCAAAGGGTTCGACCTTCAAGCGAAGCTTCGTCAACTGAAATCCATCAGCCTTTCACCAATGTGCTCTGGTTGGCCGGTTGGTTCTTGCCTCGTTCACAAACACCGTCAAAAGCACACCACACAGCACAGCACAGCACCGCATACAGTATTCTCTCACCTCCGTCCGACCATTCCTCAGCAGCAGCAGCACCGCTCTCTAGCCTCCCAGCGTGCGACTCGACGGTAGCGGATAAACCAATCAGAGACACACAATCCGCGGTCCGTGCTGAAATTCCCGAATTTCCAGATCCAGCCTGACTGCCTCATGCAAAATCAAGGGCCACACCCCCTCTCTCAGAAATGTATAAATAGAGCACTAGAAATCTGTGTGGGCATCGATTCTCAAAATAGCCTCTGCATTGAAATACCAAAGCAGCACACTCCCGTACATTGCGCCCTCCGTTCTCGATTCTCATTACGCGCTGCTCACTGCACCTCTCGTTCCGTCTCACATTACAAACTGATACTTCCCGAGAAAGCTCACCAGGTAGCACTCTATTAGTAGCTCCGCGAAGTTCGCGTCCTATCTCGGCAATCATGGCGCGCACTGCAGCTCCCTTCACGCTAGGGCTAGTCGCTCTGCTCGTCACAGGTGAGCCACCTCCAGGCGTGTTTGCAAAGCGCGGTTTTCAGCACTGAACATTTAAGACATTTCCGTTACGCAATAACGCTTTCAGTTGCACTTCGTGCTCCAAAACCTTTTTTTTTTTTTTTTTCAATAATTGCAGTGTTTTTGGCAACACAAAAGGCCGAAGCAGGCCGGTTTCTCCCCAGCGCCGGTCTTCCCACTAACCGCCTTCCACCCGGCTTGAATTCAGCCGTCGCCGCGGCAGCCGCAGCAGCCAGCAGCACCAGCCCCGCAGCGGCGCTAAACTCGACGCTCTCCGGCCTCCAGTCGTCCCTCAACGGCCAGATCGCGTCTCTCGACGAGCTTCTCAAGAAATCGCTCGAGCAGATCTCGGCGGCCCTCAACAGCAACGCGTCGACCGCGGACGCCGCGCTCCAGGCGCAGATATCCGCGCTACAAGCCAACCTCGCTGCTTTAAACGGGAGCCTCGCCAATCTTAACGCGCTGAACATCTCAGGGTCGAATCTGAACGTCACAGATCTGCTTTCTCAAATTTCCGGGATTCGGTCCAACATATCTTCTATCAGCATCGGCATCGCCGCTCTGAACAAGGACCTGGCGGGGATAATCGGCTCGGGCGGAGGCTCGGGCGCAGGCTCGCGCGTAGGCTCGGCGGGCGTGTCGAGTGCAGCCACCGCAGCGGCTTCCGCGAGTCGGAGCGCGGCGATCCGCGCGGCGGTGAGGCAGCGGCTGGCGGCTGTGACGCAGCGAGTTGCGGGGCTCAACGGGAACGTGTCCGCCCTCGCCGGGATGCTCAACGCCTTGAACGGCGCTCTGAACGGAGCTTTGAGCGGCAGAGTGGTGGGGAATCTCGCGAATCTTCTGCCCCAGCAGGCAGGCATGCTGCGCGCCGTGCTGACGTCATGCAACAGCCTGCTGTCTCTCCAAGCCGGCGCTGCTGATATTCAGATCCTCAAGATGTAATTTGACTCGCGTTGACTCACGTTGACCCACCGTCCAGCAGTTACCCTCCCCACCAGGCTTTCTTATCTGTTTTTGCTCCGTTTCTTATCCGTTTCTTATATGAACAACGTTGATCCCTATCTCATGATGCTCTATTCTCCAATTTCTCCTCTCTGCTACCTTTCCTTCCCCCAAAAATGCAGTGGCTCGGACTATCTGCTCACATACTACCTGTACGCAGCAGGAGTAACCAAGGCCCCAGACTCTCAGGCCATTTTCAAGGGCAACGCCTGCAGCAGCACTGCTGCTTCAGCAGCCCTCGCCCTGCCTGGCACGTGGGTGCCCATGAGCCCTGTGTCCTGGTCGCTGGCCAATGTCGTCAGGGCGTCAGCTGCTGACGTGGCGGATGTGCTGGCATCGATCCAAGGGATCACCAATGATGACTTGTTCCTAGGATTCTCCGGGGCTGACGGGGCGCTCTCAGGGAGAGTGATTGGTGGGAGGGTGTGATTTACCTTCTACCTTGGCTTGTGAAAGGACTGGATGATGAGGGTGATGGGGGAACATTGCAGAAGCACCGCTCATGCATGTAGCTACATTAGTAAATAAGTGCAGCTCGGTAGTAAATTAAAGCTAGGAAAGAGGAGGCTTTTGTAATGTTCCATTCCATCCATCAGCAAGAGTATTTTCAAAGAGCATGAATTGATTGCAACCGGTACAAGAACCAGCATTACACCTTCTTAGGCTATATGCTCAGCAGCAGTCCTGTCATCAACAAGTAAAAGCAGGTCCTAACGAATGAGTGGTATGAGCAGCGGCCCTCACCACGGCGCTTATAAGTTATAACCTAACTTCCGCGGACCAGCCTGCCTGCCTCCCTCCCCTGAAGGACCAGCCTGCCTCCCTCCCCCTCCCTCGCTCTACCGTTTCTGCCTTTATTTCCCTCCCCTGAAGGGCCACCGTCTTCCAAAAAACTGCAATTTTTTTTCTCATCACCATCTTCCCCAACCGCCGGACAGTTGCCGAAAAAACGTCTGCAAACATTGTGGCTCCAATCATACTCCTGACAGCTACCAGACCTTGTAGAGAGTGCTGAACTCCATCTCCCTGTCAGTCAGTCTGCTGAGCCTACTGCAGCAACCTAAATCCCCCCCCTCCCCCTCCTCCCCCCCCCCCCCCCCCCCCCCCATCCTCCTCCCCCCACAGTTAACCCCCCGTAAGATCCCGGTCAAGATTCGGTCAACCCCCAGTCAACCCCGCAGTCAATCCTAAGTGCGTCAGTGGTCAGTGAAGCTGTTTGCTGCTGGTCCTATCAACACCACTCGCAGCATGACGGCAGGGCGTAAACGCCCCTAGGTCACTGTTTCCCCCGAAGTCACCACCCACACTCAACCCGCCCTCCTCCCAGTTCCAGCACCACTCTCCTCGATCCAACCAGCAGAGATAAGAAAAAGAGGATATCCAGATGTTGAGTGTGGTTCGCAGCATGAAGGCACGATGAACGCGCCCAGCTCCCCGTTTCCGGCAATCACCAGTTCCCACCACCATAGTCCACCACCACTCCCACCACCACCAAACGCAGTCTAGATGTTGAGTGTGGTTCGCAGCATGAAGGCAGTGTGCACGCCCAGCTCCCCATTCCCTGCAATCACCACCCCCGGCTCCAGCACCACTCCGCCTCCACAGTCCACCACAACACTCCCCTCCCCCTGCCACAGCCTCCGCGCCCCGCCCCCCTTCCCCACTCCCCCTATCGACACCTCACTGCTCTCCACCAAATCCGGGGGTAAACCACCCTCTGGTACCCCCTGCCCAACACTCACCCTGTACCCAACTACCCTCGCCGCTCTCACCCCTCTTCCTCCTTCCCCTCCTCCCCCCCCCCCCTCCTCTCTCCTTTTTCCGTACTCTCTCCCCCTCCTCTTCCCCTGCTGCTCTTCCCGTTACCGCCACCGCCCACTGCCAATCCGCGCCCAGTCTCCCCAGAAATCCCTCTTCCGCCTCCTCTCCCCCCCTTCCACCTCCCCCTGCCGCCACTCCGCCCCCATACTCCCCCGCCCACCTAGACCGCTGCGCCCACGCGGAAACAGTTGTTCCCCCTTGAAGCTCCTTCTCAAAAGCCAGCGCCACGCCAAAAGACTCTGGTCTGCTCTCGTTATAGTCACCCATGTCCATCAGCCATGCGCTCGTGGCATCAATACTGTCACCTGCGCCCTCCAGCACGTTCCCGCTTCCCCCTATACCACCCATACCTCCGCTTCCACCCCCGCCCCCGGCCCTCATACTTTCCACTACTATTCTATCCACTCCCCCACTGGCGCAACTCCGCGGGGACTCCGCGCCCAAACCGCTTCCCCCGAATCTTCCGCCCATCGCTCCCCCTTCTGTTGTCGACCCCGCTTCCGCCACCACCTGCATTCCCCCCCTCGCGCCCCCGCCGCGCGGGTGCGGGCTGCGGAAGATTCCCCCCAGTCGCGGAAGCACCAGGGGACCCATTTCTGACCAGTGCAGTCCGGGGAAGGACGGCGCGGGCGGCGCGGGCCACGAGTGCGACGCGGCGGCGGCGGAAACGCGCAGAGTGGGGGAAAAGCGGAGCGCAAGATGCCCCATGGCGGAGGTGCAGAGCGCAGTATCCGCCGCGGCGGCGGCGAGCGCGGAAGGATCTTCCAGCGGAACCCCCCACCCCGCGACTAGCTTTCCCGCAGTAAACGACAGCGCGGGCGGATCCGCGGAAGCGGAGCGGGAGGAGGAGGGGCGGAGGGGGGTGTACGGGGATTGGCGCGAGGAGCGGAGGCCCAGGGCGCGGGCGATGGATGGAGGAAGCGCGCGCGGAATGGCGGAAAGAGCGCGGGAGACCGCGGGCAGGAAGGGGGAAAGCGCGGGGACGGGCGTGTCGACGGTTACCGCGAGGGCTGACCCGCGGATGGATTGGAGGAGCGGGATCGTGCCGCTGCTAAACGTGGTGAGGCCACGTGGCTGCTTCGGATATGCGACCAATAGGAAGACAGGGAGGAGCGGGAAGAACAGGGAAAAAAAGAGGCTTGATTTAGACAAGGATAACGGAACAAGGAAGAGAGACGAGGATGTCAAAGCCGATAACGGATAGAAATCAGAAACACGTAGGTGCGTGCTAGTCAGCTTACCTGAGCCGATGCACTATCTCCGCGCACTCCCGCCCCCACGGAGCCTTCCCCCACCAGGTCCGCTCCGCTTGCGCCCATCGGCGCGGCGGTCACCGCCAACCCTTCCGCCACCTGCGCCCGATACACCGCCTTCTGCAGCACCACCGGGCCGCCTAGCGCTAATGCCGGGCCTAGCGGGTCCGGCGGCCCGACTCCTAGAACGGTACTAAGGCGGTCCGACGACCGGCAGAGGGACGCGAGATTTAAAGCCATCTGCACGCCGGAGCGCAGTCCCCGCCGCTTCCATCGCGGCTCGGGAGCGGTGCGAGCGGAGGCCGCCTGTTGGGACGAGCGCGGACCCGATGGTGATGCGGCCCGAGACCTCGGTGCGGCCGGAGTTTGCGGCGAGGAACGCGGCGGGCGCGACGCGGTGCTGGCCGAGGGAGAACTCGTCCGCGAGGAGCTCGAGCCGCGTGAGCCGGTCGCGAAGGTGCAATAGGTCGCTGAACGACTCCCGTTGGAGGCGGCGCAGCGCGGAGACTTCGGAGCGATGCGCGAGCGCATCGTCTGAGGAACGCGCGTCGAGCACATTGAGAACCATCTCCGCAGTTTCCGCCATCAGCTGCCGCCGGCTCACCTGTTCCGACGCATGCAGCTGCTCCATACGCGATTGTAGCAGGGACTGTAACGAACACGTCAGCCAATCGCTCATCACCAGGAAACCCCCTGCCCCGCCCTTGCCGCCGTCTCTGCCGCCTCCCTGCTGCCGCCCCGCTCGCCGGGACGCGCTCAGCGCCGGACCACCTCCCCAAAACCCGCCGCTGTTTCCGTCGGGAAGCGATCCCCCGTTAGCAGGATCGTATGACCCAGAAGCGGCCACGGAGGCGAGGGGTTGCCCGCCGAGGAAATATGGCGGCGCGTTCTTATAAGGAGAGCCAGGACGATGGGACGGCGTGCCGGGTCGGTAACTGCCATCGTGCCGGCGTCTGCGAGGGGTTATCGGCGCGCGCGGGGAGCGCGGAGTGCGGGGAGTGCGCGGAGAGCGCGGTGACATGTTGCCATCGCCTCCGCTTCCCCATCCCCAGCCACTACTTCCGCCTCCGCCTCCGCCGCCACCGCCGCTCCCCGAATCATTCCGCCACGGGTCCCATGTGAACCCGCGCAAGCGGCCCGCGGGTCCGCCGCGCTTGGGTGCGCGCGAAAAGAGCGAGCCGCACCAGCCGACTTCCCCCTGGCCGTAGCGCCCCTGCCCGTTGCCGTCGCCCGCGCATGGGTCCGAGTCGTCCGCGATACTGTTTCGCCTCTCTAAACGACTTGAGCCAAACCTGTGGGCCATTTCTGTTAGTCGCGATAAAAAAATATGCGAAATGGTGTATTGAGCTAAAAGCTAGACGGACATTGGCGCGAGACTGTTAGACCTTGCGATAATGCTAGTCATGTTACCATTGTCGCAAATGCGCATTGGGCTAGCATTCGTGCATGGATAACAATGCGTGTGAATAAAACAGTCCGGGAAATGCTCTTTCAGAAGTAGCTGGGCGCTATTCAACTCTATGGCCGTAGTCCTGGACACCAGACTATAACTTGACCTAACTTCGAGACTCAACTCGATTCGACCTAACTCCAATTCGCGCAAGCACAGCTGGTGTTACATGCTTTTGCCTCTGCTCAGTGCTCACTTCCCCCTCTCCTCTCTCTTGCTCTCAAGAGCTTGACCTACGAATACACGATGTTGGTTGGAGGAGCCCTGGGCGGTGCCATTTCCACAGGGGATCACACAGCCCGTTTTCGCGCCATTTTTGTTGGGGATGGGAGAAAATGCTGCTTGCCCCCCCCCTCACCAACTATTCGGGTAGGGGTGTGCTGTGCTTGTCGCAAAAGTTCGCCATTTGGTGGTTTGAGGCGAATGTCGCGAACAAGACAGTGAAGGAGAAAGTAACTCGAGGTCACGAAAATCTTATGGGAAGGAAGCTGCACTTCACGAAGCGCGCACGTCCAAGGTCACTGGCTGGTTCCATTATTGTACTCACTACGAGGCCGTGTGAAGCCAATATGAACACCTCAAACATTTAACTCTTGGTGACTATATAAATAAACATTAAATATTCTGGACTTCGGTAACTCCTCATTTCCCCTTGAACATAGACATGACACTTCCAGTTTTGATTCACTGAGGTTAGGGAAAATGCTTCGTATCACTGTGTTTCCGCACATTTAAGAACGGTTGGGTAGGGTTCAGGGAAGAAAACTGAGCCTGTTGGTTGTTCACATCACATCCCACCCACAGTATTTTCCACAGCTGTCACTATGCTAGGAACGCTGTGAGCAGATTCTTAGTAGCAGAACCATATGCCGCCATCCATAGCCATATCAGAACAACACCGCATGTGATATAAGAGCTGAAATGCAGGAAGCTATCGAGTGCAAAGACGTGAATCCGTCCTTATTCTCTTAGTAATGAAAGAGTGGTTCCGAAAGCTCATCAGGTCTCGGCTGCCTAGATTTCAAAGACTCTCACCCGCATATTCTCCCACTCCAGGCGCGTAGCTATCTAAATCCGATCCACCTGAATAATCTCCAAATTCTGGTGCGCTGCTTCCTGAATCCAGATTACCCGAATAATCTCTGAATGCAGGTGCATTGCTCCTGCATCTAATCCACTCGCGAAATCTCCAAAATCAGGTGCGTAACTACCTGAATCCGATCCATCTGAATAGTCCTCCGAACCCAGGTGCGTTACTCCCTGAATCCAATCCACCTGAAGAATCTCCGAATCCAGGTGCGTAACTCATGAATCTGATCCACCTGGATAATATTCTGAACCAGGTCCATCCTCGGAGCTTGGAGCAGGCTCCAAATCAGGTGGGAGGTCTTCAATAGGTGGAACATACTCCGAGCCAGGAGCATACTCGGAGCCAGGAGCAGGAGCATAATCCGAGCCTGGAGCAGGAGCATATTCCGAGCCTGGAGCAGCTTCTGAACCTGAGCACCTTCCGACCCTGGAGCATAAGGGTCATCTTCTGAGCCTGGAGTGTACTCCGAACCTGGAGCATATTCCGAGCCTGGAGCGTACTCCGAACCTGGAGCATCTTCCGAGCCTGGAGCATTTTCTGAACCTGGAGCTTCTTCTGAGCCTGGGGCATTCTCTGAACCTGGAGCATCTTCTGAGCCTGGAGCATTCTCTGAACCTGGAGCATCTTCTGAGCCTGGAGCTTTCTCTGAACCTGGAGCATCTTCTGAGCCTGGAGCATTCTCTGAACCTGGAGATCCTTCCGAGCCTGGAGACTCTTCCGAGGCCTGGAGCATTCTCTGAGCCTGGAGCTTCTTCCGAGCCTGGAGCATTCTCTGAACCCGAGCTTCTTCCGAGACTGGAGCATTTTCTGAACCTGGAGCGTTCTCCGAGCCTGGAGCATCTTCTGAGCCTGGAGCATATTCCGAGCCTGGAGCCTCTTCCGAGCCTGGAGCCTCTCCGAGCCTGGAGCATTTTCCGAGCCTGGAGCATTTTCAGAGCCTGGAGCATTTTCTGAGGCTGGTGCATTAGTTGATCCCGGAGCACCGTTCGAACCTGGAGCAACCTGCGAATTAGGAGCTGCTTCCGAACCAGGGGCCAATTCCGAACCTTGCGCTGTTTCCGAGCCAGGTGCTGCATCTGAACCCGGTGCAACTTCCGAGCCTGGTGCATTTTCCGAGCCAGGTGCCCTGTTTGAACTGGGAGCAGCAGAGAACTGGGGGCAGCATTGCTGGGAGGGGAAGAGCTTGGAAGAGCAGAACTAGGTGCGGCAGAACTAGGGGCGGCGGAACTAGGGGCCGCGGAACTAGGGGCCGCGGAAACTAGGGGCGGCGGAACTAGGGGCCGCGGAACTTAGGGGGCGGCGGAGCTAGGAGCGGCGGAACTTGGGGCGGCGAAACTAGGAGCGGCGAAACTAGGGGCTGCAGAACTAGGGACGGCGGAACTAGGGGCGGCGGAACTAGGGGTGGCAGAACTAGGGGCGGCGGAACTAGGGGCAGCGGAACTAGGGCGCGGAACTAGGGGCGGCGGAACTAGGGGCGGAGATACTAGGGGCGGCAGAACTAGGGGCGGCAGAACTAGGGGCGGCGAAACTAGGGACGGCGGAACATAGGGGCTGCAGAACTAGGGGCGGCAGAACTAGGGGCGGCAAAACTAGGGGTGCGGAACTAGGGCAGCGGAACTAGGGGCGGCGGAACTAGGGGCGGCGTAGCTGGGAGAAGCCAATGAGCCAATCTCGCCTTCAGATCCAGGTGGGTAGTACACATACTCCGAGCCTGGGGCGTACTCCGAACCTGGGCCATACTCCGAGCCTGGGGCATATTCCGAACCTGGGCCATACTCCGAACTAGGGGCAGCAGAGCTTGGGGCGGCAGAGCTCGGGGCGGCAGAGCTTGGAGCAGCGGAGCTTGGGGCGGCAGAGCTTGGGGCCAGCAGAGCTTGGAGCAGCGGAGCTTGGAGCGGCAGAGCTTGGGGCAGCAGAGCTTGGGGCGGCTGAGCTTGGGGCGGCAGAGCTGGGAGGGGGCAGGGATCCGATGCTGTCGCCATCGTCAGGAGGGATGACAATATATTCCGAGCCTGGAGCAGCAGAACTAAGGGCTGCGGACCTGTAGCGGCGAAATCACTTAAAAACGACGCTCTCCATCCGCCTTCTGTCGAACCTCCAACCAAATCCTGGTTCGGGAGCCAAGCCCTGGTTCGGAGCCAGCCGTTCAGGTTTCGGTGGACCTAGGGTCGTGAGGCTTTCCTTGGATCTGGCACATGCGTGTGAGTATATCCCAGTTGCCCTCCACCATGTAACGCATGCCGTGGTTACCAACCATGTTATACTCGTACTCGTACTCATCGCTCTGAGGGGCTGCAAAGTTGATTTGAAAAAACGCGTTCTCCTGTGGCGGCTGCTGCTGCTGGTTGTGCTACCGCTGCTGCTGCTGGTACCACTGCTGCTGCCGCCGCTGGTGCTGCTGCTGGGGCCGCTGGCGCGTTTTATTTCTTCCGGCTGCCCGTAGAAGGAGCCGCACTTGTCGGAGTTTTCCTGCCCGGAAGCGTCGAACCAGCCCGAGGAAATGTCCGGATCGGTGGTGGCTTCAGTGATCTCGTGGGCGATGGTGCTCACCATGCTGTCTATTGCTGGCATGCCGTTGGGGGAGGAGCTGCCAGGGTGATGGGGATGGGGAAGCGGGGAAGGAAATGGGTAGAGGTTCAGTGGTGGTGGTCGCGGGGAGAGCCCAGCCCAGTGTACTCGGTGGTGGCCTCTGTCGTCTCATGGGCGATGGTGCTCACCATGCTGTCTATGGCTGGCAGCCCGTTAGGGGAGGAGCGGCCAGGGTGGGATGGGGTGGGATTTGAGGGACAGGGGGGTGGCAGGGAAATGCGAGGGTTAAGCAGGCAGGAGGGGTCAGCAGCAGCCTCGGTGATTTCGTGGGCAATGGTGCTCACCATGCTGTCTATGGCTGGTAGTCCGTTGGGGGAGGAGCTGCCAATGGGAATGGGAGATGGGCGGGGGTGGCGGGATGGGAAGTAGTTTTAGTGGCAGTGGTTGGGAGAACCCATGTCTGGGTCGGTGGCAGCTCTGTAATCTCGTGGGCGATAGTGCTCGCCATGCTGTATATGGCTGGTAGCCCGAGGAGCTGCAAGTGGAGGATGGGAGGTGGGAGGGAGGAGGCATGGGAGGGCAGGGGGGTCTAGCAGGCAGGAGGCGTCACCCAGTCAGCAGCTTCAGTGATTTCATGAGCGATGGTGCTCGCCATGCTGTCTATGGCTGGTAGCCCGTTGAAGGAGGAGCTGCCAGGCGGGAATGGGGGTGGAGGGGGAGGAGCATGGTGGTGGGCAGGAGGAAAGGAAAGGGTCAGCATCAGCAGCTTTAGTGGTGATAGTTGGGAAGCCCACGGGTTCACAACTATCACCATGGTGTTACCCGATATTTGGACCACCAATATTTGGGAAGCCCACTTTTGAGTCGACTCAAAAGGTTTGCAACTATCACCATGGTGTTCCGATGCTGTTCTGCACGCCATGCTGTCCATGGCTGGCTGGCTGGCAGCCCGTTGGGGGAGGAGCTGAATGAACGGGCAGTTCTGAGACATCTCAAGTTTTGAGGTCTGAGTCGTCTCAAAAGTTTTGAGTTCTTAGACGTCTCAAAACCCAATGGCTGGCAGCCCGTTGGGGGAGGAGCTGCATGCACGGACAGCAGAAGGAGTGGTGGCCGGCGAGCGCGCATGCTACGGGGCTGCCCGTGTGCATGCCCATCATCTGTCCTCTTTATAAGCCGCACTGTCAAGACAGGGAATGGTGCCACACAGCGAGTGGTGACCACTGGCAATACGAGCACAGTGCAATGGTACACTTACTTGCTGTACTGGCAGCACAGCGAGTGGTGCCCCACAAATGCATACACTATGGGGCTGCCAGTGCGCATGTCCATCATCTGTGCATGCCACCCGCAATAGCTGCAGCGGCTGAACTCCCACACATCCACGTCAGCACTCGTGACCACGATGTAGATCCCGTTCGGATCGGACGGCAGCCGGTTGGCCTTGCCCACGTTGCGATCGACAACTGGAGGTTGGGGGGGGTGGGGGAGGGGGAGGGAAGGGGAAGAAGAGAGACCGGGAAACGAGTGAAGGCAGGGCATGCGGAGGCGAGCAGAGGAGACACGAGGACTGCAATCTGTTGGCCTTGCCCACGTTGTGGTCTACAACTGGAGGTTGGGGGGAGAAGGCATGTGAAGTTGAGGGCACGTCAAACGTGAGCACGATGTAGGCCCCCCCTTGGATCGGACGGCCAGACAGTTGGCCTTGCCCACGTTGCGATCGACAATGGAGTGCGGGGGAAAGGGGGAC